ATATATATATATATATAAAACGTCGTTTCTGATAAATGCAAAAATTTGATATAAAATCTAGAGATTCGATCTCCATATTAAAGTATACTATTTAATAGTAATTCCATATATAACAATTATAGAATAAATGCAACAAAAATTTAAAATAAAAGAAAACATAATAACGAAATATTATGGGTTTTCTACACTAAGACATTATCTAACTTTAAGTCTTAAATTATAAGAAATTGACTAATCACAATCAATTACTCTTCTCATATTCAACTGTGATTGATTAATTTTTTATGATTTAAAATTTAAAACTTAGGTAATAGCTTGTATAGAAAGCCTATTAAGCTACAAATAAAACTGAAATACAGTCACATATTGTATATAGTATTTCAGAAATGTTTTATGTCATAGATTGTGTCATGTTACTACAATACATACCTATTTGGTACGAGTTACGGATATTCTTGCCACATGAACATTTTTCTACAGAGAAATTTTTTAATCGCTTATAAAAATAATTGCGTGAATATCCATGCGAACATTCATTCATCATTCTATCTATAAACGAACTTTTAGCTCTTCCATTCTTTGTTTTATTCTTTTTCGCATCTCTTTATATCTGAAATATCGAATTATTATAATATTGCGATTCTTATTGACAAATTTTATGTACTCACTTTTCTTTTAAGACGAGAATCTGGCGTTCCTCTTCATAATGGTAACGTTGTAATATTCCATGGCATTCTGCTACAGATAAATTAAGAAACTGCGCAACATCGGAACTGATTTCAGGCGTGGATAATTTATCGACCAGAAACAGTCGTGCAACGTTCTCATGAGGACCCAAGACTACTCGAACTTCTAAAGGATACTCGTCATCCTTCAGTCTTCTTTGCTCTAAAAACAATACAGATTGCATATAATGAAAAAAAATATAATCATATGTAAGTCAATTTTCTAAAGAATCGCAATTTTCTTACCACCATTGTCGCGGACTACAAATAATGCAAAATTATCGGACTTGGCATCGACTTTATATTTGTCCAACATAAGATTAATAACTTCCTGAGTATTCACTAGACTCGTTACCCAAACGGACATCTGCGACCCGTGAGGTGGTGTGAAGAAACTGGTCTCTCGGTTATAAAAGTGGCCATTGATCGAGCAACGACGTCGTAATCGGCTTCGCGATTGACGTCTGCCGCCTGGACGTCGTCTGATCGCAGTGGAGCCTTGTTTACGACGCAAAACGACACCATCTAGCTGCAATCAGAAAATAAATTCATGTGTGCACTTAAAATTATGAAGTTGACAGAATAAATTCGCGATATGATACCTCTAATCCGCTGTCTGTAGACATAGTCATATTGTCGTCTTCTCTGAATTGCAAAGAATTCACCGAATCCGTATCACTATCAGTTCTATGTCTTTGAAGACAATCAGGACCGGACAACGATCGGTTCAAACCCTTTTCGATCCAGCTATCGTCAGTACTAATTGATTTATTGCCAGGATTCTTCTCCAAGTTGTCGAAGTATTCTACTCTTCGAAGCGTACCATTTCGATTAGAAGCTCCTAAATTACAGACAGGAGTGTCTGTACTAGAAGAACTACCTATGCTGTGCGTTGGCGTGCTATTTAAGCTACTATCGTTATCTCGACTAGTAGTGTGGTGATTAGGGCTGCTCGTTGACGAATTTTCACGGGAATCCGATCGATCGAGACTCGACTGAGATGAGAGCGGTGGCGTATCCACACTAGATTGCGAACTTATTGATGGAAGATTCTCAGGCATTGTCTGATATAATTTATTACCATCCTCAACCTTTCGTTCCACCTGCAATCATACTTCTCTTGTTTATTTCCGTTTAATCAATTAAACATAAATATTAAAAATAAAACCTGTAGGAGTTCATCTAATTCGTCCCATTCCATATTCTTGACATCTAATTTCATAGGCAAAGTGAGACTCTTCAAATGATCGGGCGATGTTGGAACAGACTTTGCATTATTCTCCACACTGCTGTCCAATGTGTTCTTAGATAGCTCATCTGCCTTATCTTCGTCTTCAACATCCTATTATAATTAAAAGCAATGAATAGATATTATTATCAAATTTTAACGCAAATAAAAATGACAAACCTCAGAAACACTGTGCCTGCACGAGTTTCTATTTCGTGCAGTAACTACTGTGCGCTGATCATCATCTTCCTTCAGATGAATTACACCACGGACTCCCCAATAAATTCTCAATGCACCTTCTAGTATCAATCTTCCATTAACCTGTTTTAAATTGCTATTTATTTACAAAAATATTTTTTATAATAAGGATTACATATAAATATTTCAAAAAGCCTTTATACCTCACGACTTCGAATTCCTCCACTTTTACCTTCGTAATACTGATTAAAAACTTTCAACTTGGATTCTAGATGCGATCTAAAAAGATATTTATTTTTAAGAAATTATTTAAATAATGAATTATCTAAATAATAAAATGTTTATCTTCTTCAGTGAAACATTCAATATAATGATTTTAAATTTATTTTAAATAGAATTTCTTAGATTTTTTAAATTTAGGTTTATAAAATACTAAAACAATGAACACAAAATAATAAAATTATATACTATTTTAAAACAAATAATAAAAAATTTATTTTAAATTATTTATATAAAATTTTTATGTATATTTACCTTGGTAAAGACGGTCGACTTTCCTTTTTTCCAAAACTTGTATGTGATTCCACTCTTGTGCCATGGCCGAATAATTGAGGTCCAAATAGTGCTCCATAACAAGGAACGTGACAATAAGGCACGCCTTTGTGCTAATTTTAGTACAATGACAGAATATATATTAGAATTATCATATAATTTATATCAATTTATAACTAAAAGAATAATAAATGCTTTATTTACATTACCTCTGCATGTTGTCCAGGATTCAAACGTTTTCCACATTCCTCACATCGCAAACATTCTGGATGCCAATCATATCCCAGAGACTGTTTACGTTCAGCTAAAAAGTTGATATATTTGTTTGAATTATATATCTAAACAATTTAAACTTTCTCTGCGAGTTACAATATTAATGACAGTATAGGTCTCTTATTATTATTTTATAATATTGTACAGATATATATTGATTTTCAATATTATGAATAATCAAAGTAATGCAGTAACAATAGACAGTTTTCAATTCTTCACTTTATTCACAATATAAAGCACAGCCGAGTGTTTTGCACTGATGCCCATGATGTTCAGTAACAAGGTAAATCGATCGCTCTGCTCCAAACCACGAGTAGCATAATACTTGTCAGAGCGAGCATGTCGCCTCGACAAATCGCGAAAACTCACCGAAGTAAACAGGTTTGCCGCATTTATGGCACTTCCACATGATGACGGACGTACGGCACCCTGGAGGGACGGCAACGGGTGTGTTTTTGTCGGAGTCTCAAATGTTTAAACCATTTTGTTTACATTAGCGGAACATTTTGCTTATTGGAAATGACATGCGGGTTAATTACACAGATGTTACTAGCATAGTGATTTCTCTCGTTCTAGAGGTACCGTCGTTTTCTCTGCTCCGTATATAACAAACGCCACCTAGACTAACTTGTATCTCTCGTAACATACAATTATTGGCGATAAAATACACATTCATTAAAAAGATAATTAAAAACATATAATAGTTTGTCTCAAAAACGAAAAAAAAACATAAAAACAATTAATTTTTTATAACATAAAAATATATTCTACTCTCAATTACATTTACATTCTTAAATAATAAAAAATACCTTATATAATAAACATTTTAATAAAATGTATGTTACGTAAAAATATTTTATAAAGAAATAAATTTTATAAAATAAGATGCTTAAAAAATAAAAAAATACTAATTTTCCTACAATTTCAAAGCTTGTATAAGTTTTCTTTCTATAATAATATAGAAAAATATGAGGATTAAAGCAGTCTTCATCAATATTTTTATTTTTATCAACTGCTAATCCAAAGGTATTTTAATGTTTCGTACAAAAAAATAAATTTTACTATTGCTATTACAATTGAAGACATTACAATACATTTTCTTCACTATTTGTTTTTACTCTGCCTCTCCAAAACATCCAAATGTTTCTTTTCAACTTTAGCATTGAAGTCATAAATAAAGTCTTGCATCTGCTTATGCACCTGTTTACTCTGGATTGGGAAATACTCCTTTTTTGCTTGTATCACCCACTTATCAAAATAGGCTGGCTGATTGACATAGTGAAATATTCCAACAGGAAATGATAAATAGAGAAACATCTTGGCTACTTCTAATACCCAACCCATTTCAAATACCTAAGGAATAAAACATTTGTAGTTACAACCATCTGTCTTTGGTTCTTAAGAATCATTTATACTGATACATATATTCTGTTAACTTATGCTATAATTTGTAAGAATTGTTAAAACATAAGTTAACAGATTATGATCAGCATAAATAATTCTTTATTCATATATAACTTAATAATCAAATTTAATTGTCATTTTCTATCATAATTGTATTTTATATTTAATATGTAGAATGAGTTTTTTAATTCATCGATTGATCAATCATAATTATGCGCAAATGCAGTTTTTACATAACAAAATTACATTTACTTACAATGCAATCGATGAATAAAAAAACTCGCCCATATTACAGATATATGTAATTCTTTACATCTATCTAATTCAATACTCTTTATACAAATTTTTCACAAGAAAAAAATTACATTAGAATATTTCTACTTAGGTTAAACATTCTGTTAATATATACATTGATAACTTCTTTATTTTATTATTGATCTCATTATAAAAAAAAAAAATCATATCGTATCTCAATTGTAAAAGCAGAAATCTTTTATTTATATTTGATAAACAAAAATGCGACCAAATATTCTAATAACAGATATGTTCAGGAGCAATTTAGATCGACGACAGTATAATTTAGAAGTATAGCCATAGACGAAAATGTTACAGGAATTATAACGCTGTACCTTAAATAAACGTTAGAAAACACAATTATGTAGGAAAGATAACAAAAATCACTTGACAGAAATATTTAAGTTATTCTTCGAGACATTGCAATCTACATCATATATAGTTTTCTTGTCACAAACTGCGAATAACAAGAGAGTTATGGAATCAGAAAGATGAAACATTGCGCATGATGGGATGAGTAAAGGCCGCAGCACAGACTTTTAATCAGAATCTTTCCTTTCCTCCCATTCCATGGAAAAGAAGAATTTCAATTGATTCCTTTATGCATTATGCGTTATGCAAAAGTCTTTGCTGCGGCCTAATAAATTTCGACCAATCAGATACGACATTGCATAGCATTTCAAGTGGTCTGTTTTCTTGCACTAGTTGACTGTTTTAGGACTCTCTTTCTCGCTTTAAACAAATATCAAATGTAAATCTCTTTCTTACTTTAAGTTTCAAAAATGTACACTAATTCAGCCGTAGAAAACAAGGTATCAATTAGTGAAAATTTTTTCCTAGGACAAAAAGTGAAAAATTTCTCCATTAACTTTAATGGTTAAATGTTCACCTTTTGCTTTCCATTCTAGGGATAAAGTTTTATAATTGATATCCTGATCTCATATCATAGATCGCTTGCACTTTTTGCACTCAACGTCTTCGCTTTCTCTCTTTTCAATGGCCAAATATATATTGAACCGAGATTAAAGTTAATCTACTTTGATGGCAAACGGGCATAAATGCGCAGTTTAACAATCGTGAAACGCAAAACATGGGATGGTATTCATAGTCCGTTTTATTTTAAAATCATCTTAAATATAATGTCTGAAAATATTAATACAGTCCTCGGATTGACTTACGATATCTTAATATTAACTTAAGATAGTCTTAAATGTAAGGATCAATTATGAATACCGATCTGTTTCGCGTCATGAAGTTGGTACTGAATTTTTCCTCGTGCAAGAAAAGATTCAGAAGAACGCTGACATTATCGACAATTCATATAAATTTGCTATTATTAACATAAATATATTTGTCTCATATACTATTAAATTTATTTTTTATTACATAAATGTATTACATAAATATACTTGTAAAACTGTAATATCCTATATATTGTAGAAAAATTACAATTTTTTCTCTGTAATTATCATCTCTGTTGATAATTAAACTTTGACGATAACTGAAATCACAATTTTAAAGAAAAATCGAGTAAGTTCTAAATGCATAAATATGTCTACTAAACTAATAAATCATAAAATTAGTACAATATTATTAGTTTTTAACTCTTAATTATTTCAATATTCACAAGGACGCGAACTTCCGTAAGGCCAGAATCAGATTATGCATTAGAGATTGAGATTGAAGATTAAGGATTGAAATTTCCAACGAAGACAAAGAAATTTTGGCTCTTTTTGTTCTGATTGGTCAAACTTTAATCTTTCAATCTCATTCTTCAATGCATAGTCTGATTTCGGCCTAGGGATGTCGATCTTTAAAGCCCATTTTACAATAGACAGTAACAATAGTTGATTAAGGAGTAGGCATAGAAATCGATCAATCATAATTGATTATTTTTCTCACATTCCGCTATGATTGATCGATTTCTGTTCCATTGTAGACCATTATAATATCTCGTCGGTGATTTGGTCTCCCCTTTCTACTCTCTGTGATGTCCATCCTGATTATGATTCGCGCGCAGTCTCGCAGACTCCAGCTAGTTGCTATTGTTTTCTTTTGGCGCGACGACTGCAGCGTCCTGTTTGTCGATTGTAAAAATGGCGATGATATGAATGGAAGATTTGAATGCAGCCGCGAAATATAAGTTTAAAAAAGGGATGACATTCCCTCAAGCTGTAACATTGTTATTCCTTCTGCGTTTCCACTTAGTCTCGTACTCGACGACGTAAAATGAATATTCTAATTTAAATAAAGTGAGCGAAAATACGAGTCGATGTAAATTCCAAATACCTCTAATTTAACGTCTTTGCGAACGATAATTGCGATAACGTGCAACAAACAATCTCGTTCCGTTTTGAGAAGAGAACGGCGAAGCGTATTCATTTTTTAAACTTGTCAGTCAAACTTGTCGAATTCGAGAAAAGCGAGAGGCTACACGTTGGTAGCAATGCATTACAAATGTTTGGCATGTTTGCCATTTGTTGCCACTGTTGAGACGCAATAGCGCATTCGAGAGAAAGCATTGTTTGTCTTAAATCGTGATGCCTCGATGAGTTTTCCTCGGCATTACGAGGAATATTCGATGCAATCATGGAAGCTTTACTACCATCCGAAATCGCACGACTGGTGCTCGGTAAGATCCAATAGAATCAGAATCAAAATATCACGCGTAACCTTTCCCGCGAGAATATCATCCCTCCGAGACTTTAATCTTTCTTACTTAGCTGTCATAATTAATTTGTTGCCTTTGCTTGAAAGAATATATCCCTTTTATGCCATCGAATTTTTTCACGCAATTGTCTTAATGTCTTCGCATCTAATATGCAAACAAATAATATGACAGTGTTTTTTATATTTGAGAGTAATATTGATACAATTAAGATTATAAATATTATGTAATTGTATGACTAAAATTTCCTTAATAGAAAAAAAAAACTTTTGTTGTATTTCTTTGAGTTTGCTTGTTTTAACTATGTTTTTATATGCTTGAATTTGGAGAGGATGGAAGAAACACTATAGAAAGCACAACAAAGAGAATGAATCTTTTCCTCATGTATTATGGAATGTGTAGGAATGTTTTTATACTTTAGATTTATCTTATATTGCTTTTATTTAATAGTACTAATCAAATTGTATAGTTGATTTATGTTGTACCTGTTAAAAAATTTTTGCTTCTAGGTTATTTGGAAGATCAAAAATGTACTGAAGCAGCTAAACTGTTTTTAGAGACATCTCCGCACTTGCAAGAATGCCGAACAGTACTTTCTTGTGGGAGGAGATTTAGCACCAGAGTTAATGGTCTAACATTGATGGATATTATTGAAAAATTATCAGCTATCAGTGCTATGAGTAAATAATAGTGTCAATTAAATATTTATTTTAAATATAAGTAATAATAATAAATAGATGTAGATGGTATATTCTGCAAATATTTAGCTTATGTCCAAACATACATTATTTCTTATAGTTCAAGAACGATTAAGCAAAGCTACTGATTGTGAACAGTTAAAGCATTGTGGAGATTTAATAGAGCAACTCAAGTTTCTTGTAGAAGAGCCACGTGGTCAACGATTTGTTGTAAATATTAATGTACCTTCACAGGTAACTTATCATTATCTTAATTGCTTTCCACAGTATTCTAAATTTGCAGAAATCTGTCATGTTTAGCATAATGGAAAGGCAATTTTGGACAAGCTCAAAAAAGAAAAATTACAATATATATAGAGCATATAAACATAGGTTATAATAAATTAAATGACATTTAAATTATGTGACATTTTTTTCATATTTTACAGAGCAATACACAAACATCAAGTGGCTCACCTATTGTTGCAAGTAATTTACGGAAAAGGCACCATAGTAATAGTGAACGAATTAAACGCAATATTAAATCTCAGTTAAATTTAGTACAACAATCTGAAATCATGAGCCCACGTATGTTCATTTTATTTATTTATTTGCAATATTTATAATATCTTATATAATACAAGATTTTGATAAAATTTATAATGTTTAAATATAGCAGCAAGTTGTCATAATGTTGACACAACACCATTAGAAAGTCTGCCTGGAAATGTTGATTTGTTAAAGCAGATAGACTGTACTACTCATACAGAGAAAAGAGATGACAATTTCACACAGGAACTTCACAAACAATGTGATTCCGATAAACATAATAGTACAAATAGTATTGCTACACATAATAGAAATAATAGTACTCGGATAAGTTTAGGTATAATTATAAAAACAGCAAACTAATTATATAAATTAATAGGCAAGTTTATAACTTTATTTTTCTTTGTATAGACGATGTCTCAAGTGTACGAAGTTGCGAAATGGACATTGATGATAAAAAAAAGGAAGAAAATGTAATTAGTACAATACCTAAACAGTACACTGCAGCCACAAGTACAGAAGAATTATTGAGTTTTTCTAGTACAGAAGTCCAAACTATTCCTTATGAAATACCTGAATCAGAGTCCGAATCTAATGATGTGCCTATTGAAAATCTTAGTGTAAGCATCTAAGTGATTAATTTTCTATTTGTATATTATTTACATTAAAATAATTACATTATTTTATTTACACAATAACATAATTTATAATTAATAAAAATTTACTTTCCAAATCATTATAAATATAAAACGTTATATCATTAAATATATTATATATGCATGTTTACATACATTTTCAGATATTAACGAAAGAAATGTTGAATCGTGAAGAATTACAACAATGTATTGCAGAGAACATCAACAGAGCAATCATCCCTACGGACTTATCTTTGAAAGACGATTTGAATGAATCAATGATTGGTGAAGGGAATACTTCATTTATGGCTGAGATCAATAATGCTATTAAATCAATCGTTGAAACAACAGAATCCGATCCTGTGTTTAAACGATTTATTGCTGAAACCATTGGGGTGCATACAGAAACAGACACAAGTCCAGAGGAAGATGGCGAAGGAAAGTTAAGCCAAAAATCTGCTAATGAGTGTGTATAGATTTTATATTCTTTGGATATTTCGTTATAAATCGAATACTACACTTTTAAAGTATTGTAATATTTTTAGAATACAAAAGAATCAAATGGAAACAGATAAGGACAATATTAACTCGACAGAGCCAGTGGTAATAGATACTAAAATAATGGAGGACGGCACAACGGATGTTCCTTTGAAACATAGACTTCGTAGTTCTTCAAGACAACAATATAACAGAGTCGAAGACGAAGTTGACAAAGTGAGAGATCAAGAGAAAGATCGGAACACTTTAGAAGATCAAAATGCAGCCGCAGTGTTGAGTATTATAAATGCCAATATTATTAATAGTGTGTCTGACAGTGACAAAAAGACTTTTGATGCAAAAGAATTAATAACCATAAATGACGATAATGAACAAAAAATACAAACAATGACCTCTACAGTAAATAAGAATGATGCT